AAATAAACGGTACTTCGTTATACGTAGTTCTTAATTCTTTCTATTTTCATCTTCGTTTTAGTGTTAAAAGCTATCACACATTTTTGTACCCGGCATACAACGCGCACCTGTGAATTTCGATCTTATTTTTGGTGCTCAAAGCGCGCATTATACGCCGGATTTTACGTTAAAGGGAATTTCATACATTTTTTGAGATTAAAGGTATATTTTAATTGAAAGATATTAATAAAAAATAAAATGAAAATTTTGACAACTTAAGATTCTGAGCAACTTAATATACTTCGATTATTTTGCTATAATTCAATACTTCGTTTTGTTTCCAATATAATTTCATTATTTACTACAATTTGACTTTTTGTTAATTTTTATTTCCTAAATGCTTTAAGTAATTTTACACAATGTACAATATTTTAATACCTCAGGAGCGTAGAAAGGCTACTTGTAAGAAAGGGAATTTGCATTTTTAAAAGCATATAAACGAAAGCACCACCGAAGCGTTGTCTTTATGGTAAAAATCAAAAATATCTTGTTTTATGATTGACTTATGCCAAAAATTAAAAATCTCTTATAGAGAGATTAACCCCCTCCCCCAAACCTCACCCTTCTATATGCCACTGTAATATCTTATTCTCTATCTCTGCGGCGGAAAATCATTGCATTTTCTTTATTTACATAAGACTGATTTTATATACTTCAGATATCTCTAGGTAAAACATTCTGATACGATCTAGTTCTCTTAAAAACTGATTGTTGTTTACTTACAGGATTCTTAATCTTGATTTTTAAAAGGAATTCGTGCTTTTCTGAAATGTTTATATGAGACTCGAACACCATCAGCTCGTTTTCGGTTAAAATAGTATTGTTTAACGTATTGGGTGATTTATCCGAACTTTTAGTATGCTATATTAAAATTTATCGTTTTGTTATTTTCACAGGAAGTAAACACTGTTTTCAATTATATAAAATATAAGTTTAAGAAACTTCAGTTCTTAAATTTTATTCTATTTTCAACTTTTAAAATACAAATATAAGCGGAATTTCTGGAATTTAAAGGAAAAAAACACATCTCTCTCTCATTTTTAAAATACAATGAAGAATAATAATGCAGCATTTTACAAAATATTTTTCTTTGATCCCTCCCCCATCTGTTTCGTTAGAAAAAACAAAAATTTATAATGTAACATTAGCTGAAATTATATTCAAAGCATTGTCTAGCATAATAATAATTACTTGTCTAATATGTAATAATTTTTATATTAAGTATCTATGTTAAAAGGAACGGAGCATTACTTATCCTATTTTAAAGTAAAAAGAAATTGTAAATGCTATGAATAGAGAGAGAGAGAGAGTTTAGTGAATAGTTAACTACTGTGCATGTTATACAACACATGTAGCAAGTAAATGTTTTTGAAGAAAACTCAGAAAAATATTTTTCACTTCAGTTATTTCGCGTTATTTGATTGCCAAATAAATTTTATAATACCGAAATATAATTCATTCCAATATTGAATACGAAACTATTACTTTATTACCTCTTAAATACATTTCAACTCGAACAAAGATCGCTTACAGTGTTTAAAATTTAGTGCTTTTTAGTTCCCTTCCTTTTCATAAAGCATGCATGTCGTGTATCTTCTTGATGTGGGACGGCATTCTATTTAGAAACAATGTACAGATTGTTCCGCATTTCATTCATGACAATGGAATATAAAACATGACTAACGTCGTTAAAAAAAAGAAATATATAATGCAAAATTGCTTGCATTTTTTTAAACAAAATTTCAATTTAGTTAGTCACAGAATGCATCATTAGGAATATTACAAAACTGTATTTAAATTGTGCTTAACTCAACGGTTTTTTTATTTGAAAAAAATAAGCTTTGAAGAAATGTTTGTGATATACGGAAAAAAATTCAGAAATTATCAGACTCTCGATTAGCGTATACTAATTGTTCTAATAATTTAATGGCTTCGAATCATTAAATACTTTGATTATTTTTATTCGTTAAAAATATGCTTTAAAAACGTTACCAAACTTTGTATGCATTCACATACATTTAAAATGAATTTTTCGGTGTCTATGTGTGTTTTTATTAACTCAAAAAGTTCCTATATGTATGCCTTTACTACGATTTTCCCACTCTCTTTTTTGGGAAATTTTTCCCCTTTAAGCAATTTCGAATCTAGATGAATAACAGTAAATGGTTCTACAGGTTCTCAAATTTATTATTTCCTGCATACAGATTAGTAACGTGAATCCCCGCCTCACGTCTTGGTCTATATGTCTTACATCTAGTTTTTTCAATTGCTTAGTTAATTTCCTTAACTAGTTTTAAATTTTATCGTTTTAAAATCTTCATTTAAGATTTCACTAAGCAAGAGGAAAATAATACAGTCTAATTATTATTGAATTGGAAGTAAAATTCTTATAGGCTTAAGAACTCCAATGAAATAGAACATCTTCCGTCGTATCTTATTTAAATAGTGACGATTAATTGACCTATTTTAATTAAAATTACCCTAAAATAACATCTATTTTTTTAATTTTTGCCGATGTATCGGCTTTAAGTACCCGAAAAATTCTATGAGAACAAATAAAAGTTTAAAATTCATCCATCTTTTAAGAATAACAACAATTTTTGAGTTTTAAAATATAAAATTTCGAATTTTTTACACTGTGTTAGGATAGATATAGAAATTTAAATTGTGTTTTTATAAACGAAAAGTCGAAAGGGGAAAAAAAAGAAAATTCCATACAGGAAGTCATAATATTTGTGATGAAAATGATATATTTCTCTGATTATATATATTTCGACGTAGTTATATAATAAATGTGTTGTTAATCTTTTCAATATCCTTGACTACGGAAAAACAACAAAGGAACTTTATCAAATTCTTTTAATTCTTCTACCTTTTCATACAATAAAACGGAAATAATCGATTAATTCAAAATAATTTTATTAATTCTGGTGTATGTGTATATAAAGAAAGGAAACGCGCGTTTCTCTTTTTTAATTTAATTCCAAAATTTTATTATAAAAGAGAAAGAACAGTCAGGTAAGCTTCGAATTTTTCCCCAAGCAGGTATGTAACTATTAAATGCTACACATACTTCTTCATATTTATCTATCTATATATATATATAAATCTTTTTTCATTTTAAATCTAGCAAATGTTAATTAAAATACCTTAATTTTTCTTTAACTACATTTTATTTAATAAAAGATAAGCTTAAAAATAGAACTTCTAACCTTATTTACCCACTGATTTCTGTGAAAGATTGAAAAACCATTTTTAAAAATGTGTTAATTTCCGGTATTAATTCCCAAAAATTTGCTTAACACACTCTTAGCTTCCAAGCAAGTCAACGGACTGCAGGCATGACATAATCGCGGCAGTGTTAAGATGCATGTTGAGTCATGAGTATTTACATGCAAAAAAATCACGTGACGTTCAAGAAGCTAACATTCAGTACCAATCGTAGTTGCTTGCGTTGATTCAGACACTCGCTTAGCTTGACTTCATACCTCACATCACGCCTGAAAGACGGTGAGATTACTTTTTTTTCTTTTTGCGTTTTTCAGGAGCTTGTTTTTGACTTACCTGTTCCTCAAAGCCGAAAAAGAAACTTGATTTAAAGTAGTTCTGTTTTCAAAATAAATGTTTTGGGAAAAACAAGTGAGTGGCGTACGATTTAAACATAGAATATTATAACTTTTTTAAAAAAATTACTTTGTTTGGATGGAAAAATCGATACATTTTTCAAAGATTATAGGAAAATCATCAGCTTACAAAATGTGTTTATTGTTAACATGCAAAACAAAATATTTACATAGATTGATAAATTGATTACTCATTTGGTTGATTTTTATTGATTGAATTGAAATGAATGAGTTTTTTGTGATGATTTAATTTGCTGTACATTCAATAGTTCAATAAGATAAAATAAAATTCAACGTAATGTTGAATATTAGGAGAGTTTAATAGTAGATTAACATTTTTCTTTAAATAAATATTTTAATTTGATAATTTATACTATAAATATTTTAATTTATACTATTAATAATTTTTTATTTACCTGATAAAAAATTAACAACAAAAAGGTTTCGCTTTATATTGAAATTAAATCAAAACATTTTCAAATACATAAAAAAAAAATGTTTGATATTTTAATTTTTCTTGTTTCAACAAAGTGTAGCAATTATCAATGCAGAACTAAAAATTTTCAAAAATGAGCTTGAACTTGAATAGATTATTTACAAATTCCTAATTAATAGATTGTTGAAGTTTTTTTAAAAAATATATTTTCAATCAATGATTTTATTATTGAAATATTCTTGACGATATTCCTAACAAATTAATTTTTTTTAAATTGCGACTTTTTATTACTAGTATCGCTAACAGGTTTAGTTATTACCGTTCATTATCCTCATTTTCCCCTCTAAATAATTAATTCTCTCTTTCAATAAGCAGGTTTCTTTTTAACTTCTAGTTGTTTTAATAGTCTCATAATTAAATATATTCAGAATTTTTTGTTCGCAAATATGTATTATTAAAATGACCTTAAATAATACTCAATTCTTCAAAACAGGGAACAAAAACAGTAAAAATCAAAAATTAAAACGTTCCATTCCTTTTTTTTGCATTATTTCATCTTATTACTAAATCAAATAATATACAATTATCTTAGGTCATCTAATAGTGATCTACATATATTCGTTATTTACATCTTTTTCAATTCTTCTATTATTAGTTCACTATCTCCCTATATATATATATATATATATATATATATATATATCTTGTTCAAATTTTCAATCGTTAATAAAATACTTTCTATTCACCCATGCAAGTTCAAATACATTTTTTAAACTTGTTGGGGATAACACTTGATGTTAATATAGATTTTTCAAATATTAATTCATTAATTAAATGAAGAAATGAATATTAAAAAAAATAATAGTTCAGCAACATATATAGAAAAGAGAATCGTTCGTTATGTCCCTGTAGTACAATGGACAGCGCATTGGACAGACAATCCAAAAGTCGTGGTTTCGAATCTCACCTGGGATGGCCTAATTTCTGAGAATATGATTTCTTTTTGACTATACTATTTTGCTAGAATAATTAAATTTAATTAATCAAAATAAATAGAAACAAACAAGTAAAATATTCCAAAACCCTATATAGAAAGAAAAATGGAAAATTGCAAAGAAAATCGCTTTCTATTTTGTCCCTTAATATTGTGATTCTGTCAGATGTATATCCATATTTATATTAATAATTATTATTTAACAAGAATTTACTAAAATGAAATGTTTCTTTGTTGCCCTAAGTAGTTAATGACTTAAAAAAAATTTATGCAACTTGTTTATTCTAAAATGTCTTTAACTTCTTCAGATGACTTCCTTACTTTTGAATAAAAGCAACTGGCATTTGGTAAAATTCAGTAATTTGCATTAAGAGCTTCTTATATATTTATATATGTTTCGTATACTTTTCACTTCATTTTTTTATTCTAGAGGAATTTTGATTTGTTTTTTTATTGAAAAAAGGATAAAAAAGAGACTGATTGGTTTTTTTCCTTACCTCCTTTATATTTTCATTTGACTAATTCTTGAATACAGTAATTTTATTCTTATAAATCAGTCAAGTTTTGAATATCTTTTAAATATATTTTAAATGCAAAAAGTTGATTTAAGGCTGAAGAAAAGGACTTATGTTTTCCATCATTAATTTGTATTTCATAGAATATTTCTGAATAAAAACCATCGCAGAGAGTTTTCTTCGTTACATTTCAATTTTACCAGCAATTGATTTCCTAATTCGACACTATTTTTAGTCTCCCATTTTGAAAGTGATTTATTCTGTTCTTAAATTCTGTTTGTTTCAATTACTCTCCCATTATTCTTTCCTAAAGTTGTTTCGTACAAATACAGAAATATTTAAAGTGAACTACATTTTATAACTTAATATATGTACTCAATATATAAATAACATTGTTTTCGGAAGAAATCGAGAGACACACAAATATTGTGTGCCTTGTACTTCTTCTTAAAGTAAAAATACCACTTATCACCCTATTGTTGGCATGAAATTCATACGTCGTTTTAAACTTCGGGAATTTCGTAGGTGCCTGACTTTGTAGTGGATTTTTTCTCAACTGCAATTACTTCTGGATTGCTTTGCTTCGTTTCGTTGTTTAATATGAGAAACTCACTTTGTGAAGGGACCGTAATAGATGCAAATGAACAAAATACTGTCGAACCCCAATTTAACAAGTTTCATTATTTAAGGATTTTTTCTCTTTTCCCGATCAAAATGAAGGCAAAAACCCCTATTTAAAGAATAATAAAACCCAAATTAATGAATTATTTCAGCAGATGGAAAAACTTTTTTTTATTAGTTTGTATTAGAAAAAATTGGAATCTTTTTCAAATGACATATTTTTGTCCGCAGCAGAAAGAGTTTTCTTGTTTGAAGCAAATTTCAAAGGGGAAGAGGGAAGACCATTATTAAACTTTGCAGCTGTAGATGAGTCACGAGTGTAACTTATCGCATGAGATTTGAATAGGATAGGAAATTCCCTTGCCTCACCCCAATCCTAAATACAGGGACTATTTTAAGATTTTAACGATAATGACACTGTTGGTGACGGACTGTCTATCTGTGTAACTGAAGTTGAGGAAATTATTGATTTGTCAGAGCCAATGAATAGATATACTAATGCAGAAATTTAAACAGTGAAACTCCTATCAAAACTGTTACATTTTCTAATATTTTACATTTTTTTTTGGAAACTGTAAAAACATACCTCTCTCTTATACAGCAGTATGAAAACGATGTAGTATTTTTTGAGTCGAAAAAGAACTCTTTCGAGTCAGGAATCAAAAAGATTTTCAAACATTTATCAGTCAACATTTCAATAATTCCAATTAACTGGTGCGTAATTATTCACTAATAGTATTTTAGCTGTTGAATAAAAAGTAAGTAATTTCCAACTATGGATATATTTTGTGTAGTTGCATTGAATTTCTAAAAGGTAAAAGCAAAAAATTTGTATTTTGTTCTGACCCCTACATAGAAAATAACCCCGAGTCAACGAACAAAATGTCGCCCAGCCAGTATGGTGGCTATGACCCTCGGCTTGCAACCGAGTGGGTTCGGGTTCGAAATCCGAGTAAGACACATGGTAAGACATTCGGGAAAGAAGTCGGTCTTTCGCCTGAAATGGATTCCCGTCTCGAAAGGAAAAGCAGCGCACCTCTTCTGTTATTTACCGGGATCACCGTTTGTAATAAAACCTGTATTCTTCTGTGGTTGTGTTATATGTTTCTGTTCATCTATCTCACGTCTTTCGTGTGTATCCCAGTAATAACACACAACAACAACAACGAACAAAATGTTTCGTCCCGATGAATTCGTTAAATTGGAGTCCCACTGTATTTAAATAGAAATGAAGTGAAAAAAAGAGCGGAAGGGTGAAGAAAAGATAGGAGGTGAAATATGTTCCGAGAAGTTGGCGTCTGCGCTGTAAAAAGTACTACTGAAATTAGAAATTTCACCGTAAAAGATTAAGAAAGCACGATCTGTGCTGTGCTATTAGGAGACTAGCACTTAGAAATCCTAGGGTATAATTCAATCTTACTACAAATCCTTATTTTATAAAATTGGGTTAAGTTAAACCACTCCACGTATCCATGATGTATTTTTCAATTCCCACAATTAGTTTACTCTCTCCCTATACATACTTATTTAAACAAGTTTTCAATCGTTAATCAAATACTTTCTATTCATCCATTCATTTTTTAAACTTATAGTGGATGACATTTAATGTTAATACAGTCTTTTCAAATATTAATTCATTAATGAAATTCAAAAATGAATGAACAGTAAAAAACAAAAATAGTATTCCAACACAATATATAGAAAGGAAAATCACTCTTTGTGCTCCTTGGCTCAATGGATATCGCGTTGGACTTCTAATCCAAATGTCATGGTTTCGAATTCCACCTGGGATGGCTTAATTTTTGAGAATGTAATTGCTTTTTTACTATACTATTTTAATAGAATAATTAAATTTAATTAATCAATGAATACTAACAATCAAACAAGGAATAGTCCAGCACCATATACAGAAAGGAAAATGGAAAATTGCGAAGAAAATCGCTTTCTATTTTGTCATTTAATATTGTGATTCTGTCATATGTATATAAATATAGTTATATTTATTGTAATATTATATTTAATAAAAAGTAACTAAAATAAATTTTTTTGTTGACTAAGTAGGAATTAATTTAATTTTTTTATATTGCTTGTTCATATTGATTGTTCAAAGATTGTATTAATGAGATAAAGAGATTAATGTCTCCTGTTGACAAAGAAGTTGGTCCGTCAAAAATAATAATAACAACCTCGTGGAAATTTGCGTTTACTTTTTATACCCATTAGCATCCTGTTGTTAAACCTTGACTATTGCTGTACGCAGAAATCAATCATTTGTAACAAAATATTTAAATTTGAATACTTTTCAATCATTCAGTATCTTCTTTTCCTCTTTTTTTTAAGGTTTTATCTCCTTTTAAATCGATGTTAATCCTAAACTACTCTTATTTGTTTTTATAAAAAAAATTTTAGATTCAAAGTATTCCTGATGGTGTTCAAATTTTGCTTCATGACCATAATATTTTTCAAATGCGTTTTTAGAGAGCATAATAAAAAAATTGAAAGGTTGGGGGGTTGTTACTTTAATATTTTTTTATAAATTTCATAAATAATCTGTGACAGACTTACATTCCTTGCGTGACAGATTTGCATTTTCCAGAGAGTGTAGGGGTGAGTCAGACATGAGTTAGACAAGAAAGAGTAGAATTGTGAAGTTATGAAAGGAATGACTGATTCGGTTATAGTGATTGTATCGTAGATTTAAATTACAGTCGAACCTCTATGTAACGAACCTCCATATTGCGAATTTTTCTATATAACGAACTTTTTTCTGGAACCTTGCACATTTCACGATTTTCTTCGTAAAATAATCTCTCTATAGCGAAGTGTATTTTCTGTATAACGAACTTTTTCTTTTGTGATTCAGTTTTTGTTCTCCCTTTTTTTAAAGTATTTCTGAAAAAATTTCAAGTTATTCTCTCTTTAACACATTTTATGGTGGTCATAAAGCTTGAACTGGTTTTATTAGATCCTAACTCACCGAGAGCATTAGAGTTCTGGACGTGTCGTTCAAGAAGTTCAACCCTTAAGTCCCATAGCCCAGTTCACTAGAAACATCTTTGGTATCCTCTTTCACCCTCAGTGAAGCTGTCCCCATGTTCTAATTATAAAATAATGTATGTTCAATAGTTCTTGTATGCTTTAAATTATAAAATGTCCTTAAAATTCATTAATTTTAGTATAAAATTACTTTCATAATATTGAAAATACAGTGAATTTCTTCCACATTCTTTTTTCTTGTTTTTCTTGCAGTTTTTCTTTCTTTCTTTTTGATGGGTAAGAAATATAAAATAAACATATATTAATTTTTAAAAAAGGTGTAAATAATTACTTTTTTATATATATAGTGTTTATGAATTTAAAATATTTGTTTCATGTGATTTATAAAGTATATTAAAAGATGGAACTCTATATAACGAACTTTTTCCCGGGATTTTGCGACTTCATTATATAGAGGTCCGACTGTATATCCACGTTGCACTCGAACGATGGACCTCACAATTCGTAACCTTTGGTCAAGTTATGACGAAGACATATGAATTGCTACACCACACACAAAGAGGAAAACTTTGAACCTCGACAGATGTAACATGTATCAGTTCCTCTATTAAGTAGATTTTCAGTAATAACAAGACTCGAAACCCCGAACCAGCCACGAAAAAAAATGTATTTGAAAGAGATTTCGTCTCCTATACACAGTAATGTTACTTGAATTTTCACTCTACAAGCTAAAGTAGGGGAACTTCTTTTATAAGGAATATTTTAAAAATGCTGTATTTTAAACAAATATGTGAATTTTTATCTTCTGAATTAATATGAAAATTCTGAAATTTTTTTATCCATCTATC